GGCCCCGCCACCCCTGGAACCATCAGCCCCGGCTGGTGATGGCACATAGAGATAGGGAGACCTCAGGGATCTTTCTGAAGTCCATGAAGGAAAACCACTATTTCCTAAAGGAACACCCCCTGGCTATTAAAGCCTGGAGGAGGCATCCTTCAACAGCGAACCGGCGCCTGATTCAAAACAGCTGTACCAAAACCACCCCAACTCTCTCAGACACGGTCAGGCCAGCAACCTAGCTCTGCAAAGGGGACAGGCCCCTGGCTCTGCTTTACCATTGCCAAAAGGCAGCAATGGGTTTGGGTGCAAGGGTCACCTCTTGCCTCCGAACACTCAGAGAAAGTAGCAAGCCAGCTGGATAACTGAGAGCAGAGTTTGTGCGAGCCAGCTAGAGAGCCCTGTGCATACAACACAATAGCTCCCGAGCCATTTGTGCCTCCATCAGCATCATGGCACCTTTGGTTGGACATAAACACTTTGGCAGGTATTATGGCAGCCTCATCTGTGGCACTCTTCTTGTGTTTGAGACCCCATCTTTGATGGCCTGAAAATCTCCTCCCTTTTAATATGTCTCGGACTTGTCCTCGAATTTTGTCCTTTTCTGGAGGGTTACATTGACCTCTTAAATGACAAGTTCCTTTCATGATTATATACATGGGTCTAAAATGTGGCCATCTCACTCTGTTTTACCCTCTGGAGACCTCAGCAACGACTTTGTCCTGAATTGGACCGCTTTGTGACTGGTTTCAATAAGTCAAGGGCTCTTGTGTTCCTAAGCATTAAAGAGGATTTAAACTTTTTTATATACATACAGGATTAAGTGACCCTCTAGTTCAGTGTCAGATCTTTTTCATTTTTGAAAGAATTCAGTCTCAATCAGACATCCAGGGATTTATTGTCAAGCTTGTCTCAAACAATTCCCATATCGTCGTTGGCTTATGTTGTTTTGAATAATAGTCTTGTTTTATTCATGTGATTGCACTATGTTTTTGATGTGAGCTAGTGATAGCTGTGAAATCTTACTCTGCAGGTAAGCAGTCATCCAAATATATCTCAAAAAATTCCAGGTGATGGGGAGCAACAACATATCTCATAATTGTTTCTGTTTCTAGGTATTCTTGAAATAACTGCCGTTGATGTTGGAATCGTTGCCATCAAGGGCTTATTCTCTGGCAGATACCTGGCCATGAACAAAAGGGGCAGACTTTATGCATCAGTAAGTTTTACTTAAGACTGGCATATGCCTGTCCTTTCCTGTGGGGAGCACTGATTTCTTATAAATAAACATTTATGGAGGAAAAAAGTAATGTTGTAACAGATTTCTGCCTAGAATTGTTACAGGCAACCAATCAGTAGATTTCTGAAAGTAGGAAGAAGCTGTGTTCATATTTTCTTACTGTATGTACAGCCAAAAGTAGAAGAATGTATTTGGCAAAGGTATTTCACATGGCCAAAGTTCCAGGCCATTTGGTGCACTGATAAAGACCTCAGGAGCCAGCCTTTGCAGTGCAGAATGTCCATCTCTATTCAAAATTATCCGTATTTATATTTGGTGTGGGTCTTGGACACCAGCAGAGACATATACGTATCAGAGAATATCCAGAAGCAAGTGAGCATCTGTAACAGGAAGGCAGCCTACTGACGGGAGTTTCTTTGCACAGAGCATGTGGTTGGGCAGTGAAAGAGCTTACAGGTACTAAAAGACAAGGCTATAGCAAGGAAAGGAAGTATGAGAAGGTGCAAGAGGATAAAGGTGAAAATAAACACCTTATTCTACTCCTTTGACCTCATTTTTTGTCCTGATCTTTGAGGTAAAATCTGGGCTCTACTGATACTAGTAGGAGTCTTGCCTTTTCAGCCCAGCCAATATTTCCCCTCAATGAATAAAATACTTTGGCTTAGACTTCTTCACATTCAGGGACATACTAAAGTGTATTTGTCAGTGTGTATACTATACACATTATCTACCTACTTGAATTTCTTCCATTGTCTTTGATTACATCCCTAGCAATCTTGTGATCTCTTACTGTGTAACAGCTGTACTCTGCAGTTTCTCCAGGAATCCTGTGGTATGGAAACAGATTTGAAGAGGTTAAAATATGGCTATGTGAAATTTGCTTCCTCCAACTAGTCATTATATGTAATTCTGTTGATTTGAACAGCATGATATATCATCAAGCAATGTGAGCTTTTTCCATGTGAACGTAACCTAGGTAACCCAATCAACTCAGTTGCCTCCTTGGTTTGATGTATTTTACTCCACCTTTTCAAGAGTGTTCTGATAGTGTTTACGACCCAGCTTCCATAATGTGTCTCATGTGATGCGCACTGATTGAAGGGCCTGTGTGTAAAGATGATGATTCTTTGCTGGTGCAGAGAAGCGGGTCACAATTTTGGCAAAGGAAAATGCAGCTGAAGAGGAATGAGGACATACTGCCTCTGCTATGCCAGAGCTAAGGCTGGCCACTTCTATGCTTCCAGTTAACATTCTGATGAAAATGGGCATCTTTTTCAATGGACCTCCTCCATCAGCTCAGAGCCCCTGTCTGCCCCAAAGAAATTAATGGGAAGGATGCATTTTCAAGTTCTTTCTCACCTTTCTCTCTTGTTCAAAATAGGTATGTTTTTCCTCCAGATTAATTAAACTGAATTAAAATAAAACTAAACAAATTCTGAGCTAAAAGCTCCTCTCTTGGATTGAAGGAAAACCTACAGTAGGATAGCCCAGGGAGTCCTTTTCTCCTGGACTTCTCTTTCTAGTGTAAGGAGCATCAGGCCACCTTGAAGTTTGTTCAGCTGTCACGTGCCAAGGAATATCAGCCATGAACGGTTTCTGTACAACAAGAAAAGATAATTTTTGCTGTTCCAGCTCAGCTTTGAGAGAAACTGTTTCAGACTTGTATTTCAGGGCTGGAGGGACAATCCAGGAAAAGCTATTCCATTCTACCTTTTTTAACAGAAGCACCAAAGGATGAGGGCTCAGCTCAGGAGAAACTTCCCGGTTTTCCTTGCTTAGAAAAAACTGACCAATGACTTAACAGATGTTACTGTGCCAGGAACCTGTAAAAGACCCCTATTTCAAATAAGACTGACTTCTTGAGGGTAATTATACAGCAAGCATTTTATGAAATATTATTGGAATAACTCTGTTATCCATTGATTCACCAGTTTTCCCATGTTAATAGAGTTTGTTGAGTCTGCAGAATTCCTTTGTCTCCTTAGCAGATTGTGATAATCCTCTAGGTTTATGCTCTGTAATAAACCCTCTACAACCAGAACTGAGGCAGACAGCAGGACAAGTCTACCTACATATGGTAGTTGTGTGGGCTCCAGCACCACAGCATATGAAAACCTTGTCCTTGCAAGGAAGGGCACTTCCGTTTACAGCTGTGAAGCTGAGACATGTGGAGTCTTTTAAAATCTTGTAAAATGCCTATCAGCATTTCTGGTGAGTGAACAGCGCTAAAGGCATGCTGTTAATGGAGCCTATGGCTTTTCTGGCCCCAGCTTGGCTACCTGTGCCCTTTCCATGTCCTCTACGGGGGCAAAGCTAAATAAAAAATACTCTGTAAAGACCATGGTAGCAGTTCCCCCCTGCCTCTGTGCTTTACACACGTTAGATACTGAAGTCTTAATCACACAGGTACAGCAAAGATGATTTTGTAGTTAAGAAAAGATGCACAGTGTGGGAGGTCCTTTATTTGTGCTGTTTCCAATGCTCCCCGGGAGGAGGAAGGAGGTCCTCTTGCCAAGCTTTTGCACACTGTTTTCTCTCCGTTGAGGACCAGATGAAAAGGGGCCAATTTTGACGGATCACATAAAATGTGAGCACCCAGGATGGGTGCATATTTTCCCTTACAGTTTGTGATAAAGGAGCAGCCTAGCATTTTGAGGGAACACACTGGTGGGCAGGGTGTACTTCCATTTTGTTATGCCGAAGCAAAGAAAGAAGTTTCATAAAGGTGTTGTTTACTGCTCAAATATCTGTAACAAACTGAATGTAGTAGACTAGGTATCTAAGGTATATCTAACTAATATACCAATTAAAGAGCCACATTTTGTATTAAATGTAGTATTTTACCTTTTCAGTATATGTCAAAGGTTGATAGGCAGCAATTAAATCATCTGTCCAGTTCACAGGCATATTTAGATCCGTAAGCATAAAAAATTAAATTTACAGCTGAACAATCAACAGAGCTATTCATTCCTATTCACATGCCATTTTTTATTTTCAAATTTTTTTGGCCCCTTTCTGTCTCTGACCCATGGACTATGCTCACACTGCTGACAGCACCTTGTTGCACAGCAGTTCAGGCTCAGCACTTCCCTTCTGCTTGCCTTTTGTAGCACCAGTCTAAGTTTTTCTTACCAAACATGTTGCTGTCCTTATCCTAAAACTGAGTAGAGTCTTGCTTAAGACTCATCCAATCTTATTGAGGTAGAAGAGAGCTATTGCCCATATAGTCTTTTTTAAACTTTGTCATGTTTGCTTTACAGGAAAATTATAATGCAGAGTGTGAGTTTGTGGAGAGGATCCATGAATTGGGTTATAACACCTACGCGTCCCGTCTCTACCGGACTGTACCTAACAGAGCCGGCACCAAGCGCAAAGCCAGTGCAGAGAGACTCTGGTATGTGTCAATCAATGGGAAAGGACGACCCAGAAGGGGCTTTAAAACTCGCCGGACACAGAAATCGTCTCTCTTTCTGCCCAGAGTATTGGATAACAAAGACCATGAAATGGTCCGACTCTTCCACACAAACGTGAAATATCGAGAGAGTCTCCTGAAGACCCCAAGCAAGAATCAGCGAAGAAGGAGAGGACGCTGATGTGGGTGGGGGAGCTTGTATGGGGGCTGGAAGTGACTGAGAGTCTTCAAAATACTACTAAAAAAGCTAACAGCTGTGATTGTATGACAGGCATTAACATGGTCATTTTTTAGACACTGTATAACTGAAAGCCACATCACTTACTTTTAGCTGTTGTAGAATTATTGTCTGTGGTAAAAGAGATGTGAGATAAACTAAGGCATCTTCAAATGTAAATTAGTTGGATGTAATAATTTTGTCAATGACTTTCACATTGTATTTTCTAAAAAAAAAAAAAAAAAAATATTTCATTAGTAGTATTTTCATTCTAACTTACCATAGGGTATTATCTCAGTGACCCTGTTTTCCCAGATCATATGAACATTTTACACTTACCAATTTTGTGTCCACAGAGAAAGCATAGCACTTTCATGGCTCTTTTGGCAATTCCTCATAAAAGGCTACATTCCTATGCTTATGGAATACTGGAGTTAGAAAACTGGTTTATTTTTCAGCTTACATATATTTATTTTTATTTTATGATCAGTCAGTACCAATTATACGTTTTCCATGACTGTCCAAGAAAAGTAAAATTCTAAGCTACTTCAAACATTTCAATAGACTTACACATTACTAAAGTACTTTTGAATTTGTTTAATTAAAAACCCAAGACACCTGACCTTGTCATTCAAATAAATGAATGTTGATAAAGTGGCATTTGCATTGGCCAAGCTTTAGCAATATATACCTGTTTGATGAATCCTCTCCTAAAATAGGATCCAAATATGATGTGAAAGCCATTTGTGGCATGGACTGAACTTGCGATATAGGAAAATTCAGCACTGGGCATGAGAATCTTTATCCGGTACCTTTGTTTAACTAAGTTTTCTACAGAAAGTCCTAGTTCTAGATTAAAAATGTTTTAAATATTGGGGGCAGGGAGAATTAACAGCTGCATTTGGCATACAAAAACTGTAGAACTGTCGTGACTCATTCATTTAAGCTGACTGTTATGTTCTGATTTTCCTTTTTTTTAAAATGCTTGTTATTTTCACAAGGTAGTCCTAAACTGAAAGCTCCAAATCCAGGTGGGGGTTAACAATCTTGAATTCCGGTTCAATACACATAAAAATGTGTTTCTATAAATTTTTCCCTTCTGATTCTGGAAGTTAACTTTTACAAAATTGAGGGGAGTCCATGTCACAAGTTTAATTCTGAGAAAGGGGTTAAGCTTTAAAAACTTCGCTTCACAGCCAGGAGATGATAGAGTAGTACAAAGATTTAGATGTGCTTGACAAGCACAAACAATGGTAATTTCAATGAGATTTGGCCTTGTACTCTTAATTTCCTAGAATTAGGCCCTGATACAGCATGGCTGCAGAAAAGAAAGACTGCACTGAAATAAACATTTAATCTGGGTTAACGGTTGGACTTGATGATCTTGAAGGTCCTTTCCAAACTTAATGATTCTGTGATTCTGTGAATCTGAATTTAACGAAAGATCTGTAAGTCAAATATGACATTATATAGAAGCAGACAGGTGCAAATCCCATTCCTGGTCATAAAGACACAAAGGTCTTCTTGTTGGCTACTTACTGAATACCAGTATGGTCATTTAAAACTAGGTAATGAAAATCTTCCATCACTGAGGAGTGAATTCTGTGAGAGAGAGAAGTAAAATGAGTCCACAGGAGGAGTTTATTAAGCCTATGAGTTATAGGTTTAGCACTGCTTACATCCCTATAAAGGTAAAATCAGAAAGCTGTATTTATACCAGAAAGTATGCTCCATTCCTTCCACCTTTGTATCTTTTCTGTAATATTCTAACAAAGAAGGAAACTGTGTTCGAATAAGAAAGTCAAAATTCTTTGATCTCTGCTTTCCTTTATACTGAAATAATGTAAAAAGACACTTAAATGTTGTACATAATAATGCAATGTGGTGCACACAGGATAGACGTAGGTTTAAAAAAGGGTACAGAAAATGTGAACCATCTTCCCAAATTTTCTTGCTTTTGCAAAATAACTGAAAATAGTGATGGGATCTTCACAGAAGTAATCAGGCAGTATCATGTCTGGAGCCACTGAAAAAGCTGTGCAAAGAAGAAACATAGAGACTGAAAAAGAAGCAGATGAATTCAGATTTTCTGGTTTGTTTACTCTCCTGTGAACCACACAAGGTCCAAACTACTGCAGAATTCAAAGTGTCTTTTGAAAGTTGATTGTATCAGTGAAGAAAATGAAGTTTTGCATCCTAGGCATCAGGGATATTTTGGGGACACAGTGTTGACTATGCCAGCTACCCTATCTCAGCTTTGTATTTCCCTTCAGGCTACTGGTGGGGGCTGAACCATTTGACTGAGCAGGAAAGAGAGGGATGTAGGGAGTCCTCACGGCTCTCAAGCTTCAAGAACAAAATGCAAGGGAAGGAAAGTGTCAGTAAACCCAACTGGCAGGGAAAGATCACCTACAGCTGAAGATTAAGAGAGATGTTTTTCCCCATGTCTAATTTGTGGACCATTTTTATTTTGCCCACTTTCAGATCTACTTCACCTCAACTTGTAAGAAAAACAAGATCCATTTTCAGCTTTCTCTCCCCTAAAAATTGTTGTAAAGCTAATGACTAATGACTGCATCAGGTATTTTTGATACAATTCTGATTGTCTAAAGAAAGTGGACAAAATCCTGTTTCCCATGACACAAAAATGGCATCTTCACGCCAACTCCAAGTCCATTTCCTATAAAATATTTGGTCTGTATTCTTAGCTTTTCTTAAGGGTAAGTATTTGTGCTGACTGTATCCCCTGCTTTTCTCCCTCTGTTTTTATCAAATTTTCCTCTCGTTTTTTTCTCCTTCTACTTCTCTTTTACAGGTGGTCAAACTACCTGTCATAATGCAACAGAAGGTAATTACTATAGGTGATATAGAAATATCATTAATTACAAAACACCTGCTTATTCCTGTCTTTGTTTTAAGCTGTATTGCATGCTTGTTGTAGGAGTATTGTTTTAATTACTTTCCCATATGAAATTGCAATGAAGTTTAGCTTAACACATGAATTATATCCTTGTTTCAGTTTTCATCCCAACAAAGTCTAAAATACTGACACTGAAAAAAAAGGAGGGGGGAAACAAAAGAAAAAATAATTAACTGATTGGACGCAATGGCATTTTAACTACTATAGGTAAGTGATGATTTTCACATCAACCTAGAACAATTTTACTGACATTCTTAGCATTTTTCTTTGCTCAGTCTCCTTGCAGCAATTCAAAGGAGATGGCTTTGGGATTTGTCTTTTTTTTTTACCTTTTACGAAGTATTAATGTTCTTGTTGAAATACTTTTCATTACAGACATTCATTACTTAATATTCTTTTAGCAACCTTGAATTCCAAAGTTCCCAGATACTGACAGGCTGAAATCCTATTCACAGTTGTCTCCTGTATACCATTTTATTTATTTGGACCAGAACCTTACAGGGTACCTTACAAGAGGCAGTAGATTTGAGTTACTGTTACTTTCTCCTTAGGATTTTAAAGTCAAGACGTGTATCCTCTTTTAAACAAGTTTCTTGAGTGACTTTATACCTTTCCATTGTATCGGCTATTTTCAGATTTTTTTTTTTTTTTTTTGAGGAAGATGTAAACTTTATCCATTTTGGATTGTAGAGTTTCTGCAGACTTCACATGCTGCAGGAGTTCACTGGCATCCTTAAATTCATTACAAAACAGAGATCATCGAAGGAAGGAAGCCAGATCTGGTAAAGAACTCATCTGCTGTAGCCCTTTGGTTATCCATCAAGTCAATTTTCAATTATTTTGTGGTTCTGAGTCCATTTCAAGGCCACCTGCAGCATTCTGTGGTTACATCTGCATTAGCATGTAGCGCAGACCCACAGCAACAGATCTGCAGTGCAAAACCTTTGGTGTCAAGTACCCAATGTCCCCACTACACATATTTTGGGAGTGTGTGGGAGGGTGATTTTGGATAGCTTCCAGCCTGCCCCTATGGACTGAAAGCCCTTTGGCAGGTGGAGTGCTCTGAGAGGGTCTTTGGGTTGAGTGCCACTAAGAAGGAATCCACTTCACATGCTCAGCAAATGTTGACATAACTCCAAGTAGCAGGAGAGCTTGCTCAAAAGCATGCTTCTGTTTTGAACCAAACACCAGCGTAGATGCACCCTGTATGAGATCCATTTATTCATACCCTGTAACTATTTTGGGGCAGAAACCAGATCTTGAGATCATTACTTCAATCCTCTCCATCCTGGGTGGCAAGTCTGTTACCAGAGCACACAATTATTGCTGTTCTCATCCTGGATCCAGGTGAGCCATGGCCACCACATATTAATTGCCTATTCCCAGGCAACCCGCTCTAGGTGGCCCTGCTTGAGGAGAGGCTTTGGACCAGATGCCCTCCAGAGGTCCCATCCAACTTTTCTGTGATTCAGTGATTCAATTTTTAGTTGTACTGAATTCAAACTCCTTATTAGTTTGCCCTCATCTTTGGATATTCTGTGCATTTCAGAGTCCAGTTCCCTATCCCAACCTCTCCGATTTCTCTCCATTCACAAACTTCATCTGAAACTAAGCATGCTGCTCAGTTTTGGATCAGTTATTCTCTGAGATTCTCTCTCCATTTTAACAGTCTGGTGTACTAACTATCTGTCCTTTCCCTTAAAATCACTTGTTGCACGTTCAGTATAGTCGTTAAATTGCCAGAAACAAACAAAAATTGAGCAGCTGGTGTGTGTACTTCTAAAAGCTACCTTTTCAGCTTGCTGTCCTTCACCAGCTCTTTCCTGAATTCCACAAGGTACATTCTCTTCATCTCCTTCACCTCCTCCCCATCATAAAAGTCTCTCTGTTGGTGCCATTTCTAGCACTGTATTAAACCATTTCCTTCCAGTTTTGCACTTTTGTTTAATAAATATATTTCTGTAGAAATTGTACAAATTATACAAATATTCTGTTACTTCCCCAGTCACTCATACATTATTTGAACTGGGCTTGAATGTCATTT